CGTCTAGATGTACTTCCTTTAGAGAACTGTATTGCATGTAGGCAGACAGACAGCAGATTACATTGACCCTGCTGAGGTTTGGCTTTTTTGTTTGCTTGTTTGCCGTGATGGGGCTCAAACCTAGCCTTTGTATAAGCTAGACAAGTATGCCAGAACTGCGCTGCAACTTGAGGGCTGGCTTTAGAACTTGTCAGAGATGGTTTATTTTGAATTGCCATTCTTTCAAAGTAGTAGTCTTTTTTCCCAAGATGGGACCCTTCTAGTACCTTACTGAAATATCAAGTCTTGGGGGTATGGGGACTGAATCCAAGGCTTACTCTCTGAACTACATCCCCATTTCTTTTTGAGATAGGATCTTGCTAAGTTGCCCATATGGGATACTAACTGATTTGGAACCTCCTTCCTCAGTGTCCCATAGTGCTGGGATTATAGGCATATTCTACCTGCCCAGCAAAATACCTGTTCTTAACTAAACAAGCTCCCTTTCCCTTTGCTAGTCTTAAATTTCACCTTTTAGTTTTGACTAGCTTCTGAGGTATTAGCTCTTTTCAGATCATTGGCCTCCCAACTACCATTTTCTGGTGGGTTTTTGGTTTGGTGTTTGGGTTTGGGTTTTGGTACTGGGAATCGACACCTTGCACTTGCCAGACAGGCACTGTTGCCAGGATTTTTAGAGTCTCATTCTGCAAGTAAGCATTGTAGGAGTCAGCCAATGACTTGCAGGATTTATTTGTAAATCTAGGGGCTTTTTTTCTTTTTAAAAGACAGGATCTCACTAAGTTGCCCAGAACCCAGGACTCCAAATACTTACCTTCTACTATTTTCTGCTTCACTGGTCGTCGCCCCCGCCCCCTGGCCCAGAAAATGCCCTAAATTCTTGCCAGTGTGATAAAATACATAGCTGAACTGGTTTACAAACAAGCAAGATTTGAACATAAGATTTTTGCAGGATGGAAAGTAGTATGAACACTAGAAGATAAGAATTGAAAAGTTAGCCTGAAAACTCAGATTTAACAAACAGCAATAAAGATATGAAAATCATTTACATCACTGGTCATTTGAGAGATGCAAATTAAAACAGCACTGACATTTCACTTCACTCCAGAAAGAATGGCTATTATCAAGAAATCAACCAATAACAAATGCTGGAGGGACTGTGGGGAAAAAGGAACCCTTTTCCACTGTTGGTAGGCATGTAGACTGGTGCAACCACTGTGGAAATCAGTGTGGAGATGCCTCAAAAGCTAGAACTAGAGTTCCCATTCAACTCAGCTATTCCCCTTTAGAATACCTTCCCAGAAGAATTAAATTCATACCACAGCAATATGTGTGCACCCGTATTTATAGCAGCACAATGTGTAATAGCTGGATCTTGGAAACAACCTGAATACCTGTCAACAAAGGAATGGATAAAAAAGATGTAGTGTTTTTGCACAATAGAGTACTAGGCCATAAAGAAGGACAAACAGAGATGTTTATCGGTAAATGGATGCAACTTGAGGCCATACTCCTAAGTGAAATAAATCAGACATGCATGTGTAAACATCATATTGTCTCACTAGTGTGAGAAGCTGAAACAATGTTGTGTATGTATATGTCTATAATAGTTAAGATAGTTATATTACTGATTTCTCTGAGTTCATTGAAGAGAAAGATTTGTGCTAGTATTCAATTGCATGCGGATGTCTTGTACTCTGGGTGACTAATTTAGGGATGGCAATGCACAGTATATGTACCATTGTTGTCCCCTGATTGTCATGTTTTGAAATTTTGTTTTATTTTTTGTTTTTCTCTTTGAAATAAAATGGATTTTTAAAAAAAACATTTATATAAGTAATATTGTACTAATTTTTCAGGAGGAAAGTGTATGAATTCCTTCTGAAGATTTGTATGTGACTCTTGATAACTTGCAGTTTTTTTACCATCTTGTTTCGCTTTTGAAAGAGAATGTAAGTTTTGTTGTCTGTTTCATAATGTGTCCCTATTTGATTTAACACATTCCTGCCAGCTTGAACCACCAGTGGTTCCGAACTGCCTGGAAAGCAGACATGTGTACTAAGAAATGAAAATAAAAAATTTTGCAGTGCTAGGGAATAAACCTAGAACTTTGTGCATGCTAATGATACATGATTTTTTTTTTTTTTTTTTGGTTTGTTTGTTTTGAGTCTTTTGTTAGTTTGTTGGGTGGGTGGGTTGGTTGGTTGGTTGGTTTTTGAGACAGGGTCTTGCTACATATCCCAGGCTGGCCTTGAACTCAGTGAGATTATATTGTCTCAACCTTCCAAGTGCTGGGATTACAGACCGGTGCCGCCACTACCTGGCCCATGTTAATCAAACGCTTTACCACTGAGTCATAGTCCCAACCTCTTAATGAAAGTATTTTTAATTACTTACTATCAAGTAGTATTGACCAGCAGGAAAAGCAGCCACAATTATCCTTTGACTAGTAGTACTGTAACATATTATAATTTAGCCCCATTTTGGAAAGATGGGTAAGACAGTACTTAAAAACTAGTCTTAAAAGTTATTCTAACATGCATTTTGTTGTTCATATTTTTTTTTTAATTACTGGGCTCAGAAATACTGTAGAACAACTGATGTTTTTCAGCTTTCCATTGTTTCCTAATTTGTGCAATCACAAGGTTGAAGGAATACCAAGATAACAAAGGTCATAGGTGCTTTATTTTTCATCAGTGGTAGACATGTATAGTATATTTACTTTCAAGTAAGGAAATCTCCTAAATAACAATATAGTAATTTTCAGTGAGTTTGTGTGCAATTCTCAAGTGGGCTAAATAGGTGTAGTAGCCACATGACATACATATATACTTACAGTCAGGCCTTGTTGAGTTAATATTTCATTTTCTGCCTTGGGATAGGAGCTTTTCAGTAAAAATTGAATTAAACATGAGTTAAGAGGAAGTGGCAGAACTGCAACCTCAGAAAACAAATAGCATAAAAAATAATGGCATAATTTCTTTTGTTTCATGTAGTAACTCCAAATGAAATCATAGATGTGGATTACTTCGATAACAGCTTTAACTTTTCCTTATTTGTGTTGTGTTAAATCTAAGGTTTTGACCACAGAGCGAGTTACACCTACTCTCCATAATCATCCTAGGAGGGAAAGAGTTCCTAAGAATTTAGAATCAGGAGGCAGCAGCTATCAGTCAAGTATAATGGATAACACGGAGTCCCAGTCTATAATTGAGAAAGAGGCCTTGGAACTGAATAATCACAAGGGTCCTGATAATTCCTCAAAAATCATAAAATTTAAAAATTTTTCTTTCCTTTTTCTTTTATTATGTATGGGGGCAGGGTGGTTGCTGCTGGAGACCAAATCCAGGACCTTATATCTTGTTAAGCAACCAGTACTGCTGAGTTAATAATTCCAGATCCTGGAATTCTTTAAGTTTAAATATGCTACGATCTTTTATATTGTGATTTTGAATTTTAGCTGTCTATGTGCCAAATCCATTGATTTTTGTGGGTAGAAAGAAGTAAGCATGATATATAATGGGAAAATAAAAGAATCCAGACATTTAAAAGGTAGACTTGATCTAATTTTTGTGATTAGATTTTAAGAAGAATAATTTAGAACTACAAGATTTCTGGCTGAATAAATTCAGTATATAATAGTGCCATTTGACAAGAAAAAGAATATATGGACCAGACGTGGTAATGCATGGCTGTGATCCTAGCCCTCAGGAGTTTGAGGCAGGAGGATCTCCATGAGTCCAAGCCAGCCTGAAGTATATAACAAGGCACTATCTCCAAAAAGGAAAAAAGAGACTATATTTAAGCATGTTTGTTGTATATGTGTGGCTATGACAGTATAGTTTTTAAATCTGAGTTTGAGGTATATATCCAAGAAGAGGTATTCAATACTGGGCTGGAGCTTGGGATTGTAGAGGAAAATCCGTGTATAAGTGATAGTTGAATCTCACATTGTACCCATATAGCAAACAAGAGTACTAGGGAATTGTGTTGTGGAAGAACACAAATATTTTAGAAGCAGGTGAAATAAGTGTTTGCAAAAGACCTGGCAAAGAAGAGAAATGGAAGATCCTAGAGTCATGGAACTACAGAGTAGTAAGAAAGGCAACAAAGATTAAGAAATCGAGTCCCCCCTCTAATCCTAGATCCTTGAATATATTTTTTGTTTTATTGTTTGTTTATTTTTGACACAGGTTCTCCCTGTACAGTTCAGGCTGGGTTTGAACTCATTTAGGTTGTCTTAGCAATAATTCCTCTGCCTCAGCCTCCCAAGTGCTGGGATAACAGGCATGTGCTACCATGCCCAGCTCCTTGAATGTGTCTAAATGCTATCAGAAGAACCAATAAAGAGGAAGAGAGGGGATAACTGGAAGACAGAGTTGTTATAGTGATTAGAAGTGATTGAATAATCTCAAAAGACTACATTTTAAACCAGAATGGTGATGCACACCTGCAGTCCCAGCACTCTGGGAGGCTGAAGCTGTATGACCTCAGGTTCTAGTCCAACCTGGGCAATTTAGCAACTTAGTGAGACCCTGTCTCAAAATAAAAAATAAATAAGCAGGCTGGAGATATAGCTTATTGCAAAATGACTGAGTTTATTTTTCAGTCCCTACTACTACCACTTTACATTTTCTAAGACTATTGATAAAAATCAGTCTGGGGTGTGACTCAGTTTTAGAGCACTTGCCTGGTTTACAAGTACCCCTTGCCCTGGGTTTGATTGCCAGCACCACAATAAATAGATAAATAAATCCTCTTATAGGTATACTGGCTTTATTTTGCATGCAAGCCTCAGGGAAAAGAAACAGAAATTAGTTCTAGGAAAAAACACAGAGCTGCCAAAAATGTAAACCAAAACTATGCTGAGTAATGGGTGAAAGGAAAGAAGCCAATTGTGATACGAAGGAACCTTGGTGCCAAGTTATCTAAACACTTTTTTGTGGTTCCATAAACTTCATCATATTTGAAAGTAATAATTTTAAATTTAGACTCTTTATCAGTGTTTTATTGTAGGAATCTGGAGGCCGTCCCCCGAGAAGAAACCCATTAGTTTGGAGCTGGAGGATTCCTTTGCATCAGATACTAAAATGAAAGAACCGCTGTTCGATGGTGAATGTGATGAGGCAATGACACTGCAGTTGGGGCAGCTAAGTGAAATTCAGACAGAACCTGACAATGCCCAGGTAAATATTTTACCCTACATTCTTTCTTCCAAAGCAACATTTATTACTAAAAGTGCTAATTTATCAGTTGAGAATTCAAGTTCTTCTCCAAAGGAGTTAATAAAATAATATAAAGTATATGGTGTTGAGTACCAAGAAAATGATTTGAAAGAAAAATAGTCTATGGGCTTTTAGGTCAGTAAAAAGATTGCTTAGGGTGTATTTGACCTTGTTAAGGTTATCACATTTTTGTTTATCTTAACTTGAAATAATACAAATAACTAATTGTGTGTTTATGCTACTGCCTCCAAGTAGTAGTACAATTAATACATTATGTAAGCTTTTTGTTTGAGAAGGGGTCAGAGTCACCTTAAGTTGCTAAATTTTCCGCTCTGGGTTTGAACCTGCTGTCCGTCTCCCTTAGCCTTTGAGTGTGCTGGAATTACAGGTGTGAATTATCATGTCCAAAATGCATTTAGAACTCATAAAAGATTTTCTTCATAAATTTTTAACCCAAATTAATTTTAATGTTCACATTTCTTTTTCCTGGTGCTAGAGATTTAACACAGAACCTTTAACATTCTAAACATATGCTATACCAGTTTAAAAAACAAGTTTTTGTTTATTTGCTTCTTGATTTTTCTGTTTTTTTTTTTCTCTTTAAAATAAAATTTTTTAAAAGAATAATTTAAATTTTTTTTTTTTTTTTTTTTACTTTTTGGGCTTTTTGAGACAGGGACTTGCTGTGTAGTTCAGGCTGGCCTTGAATTTGCAGCAGTCTTCCTGCCTCTGCCTCCCAAGTGCTAGGATTACAGGCACACACCACCATGCTGAGCCAATGGTGGGGATGGGTATCAGAAATAAAACTCAGGACCTCACGCTTGCCAGGCAGGTGCTATGCCTGGAAGCTATATCCCTGACCCTAAATTTTTAAAAAACCTTTTTAGATATACTAACATAGTCAAGACATGGTCACAGACCACCATAGGGATAAACAACAAACTCCTGGGCCCTTACCCTAATAATCATCTAAAGACATTCATTTGTGTTTTTTCCAAAGACAGTAACTAAAAGTAGACCAAAGCTTGACCTTCATTTTGTAAAACTCTGGGTCCTTCTCAGTTCTGCATATACACATTCGTCATTTAGGGATATGTATATTAGACCTGAAGTATACCTAGCCTATCTTTGTCACTCTATAAAACTGAAAACATCTATATTCAGCAGTTTTGACTATGCCAGTATATCAAAAGACTGAACCTATGGTGACCTTGGATTCCAACAGAGCCTCAGATCATAAGGACTGCTCCTATGGGAGCCAGATTGCCCCAAAAGGATGACAAGGATTCAACCTGAGATATGAAACCAACAGTGAGATAATAATTAGCCAGACCTCAGCTACTCCTTAAAAGTTTGCTTCCTGCTTTTGTGGGAATGGCCAGTCTAAATCCTTGTAAATCCTTGCACTAAATCCGAGTGCCTCCTACTCAAGCTGGAATCTTTTCCTGTTTTCTCTTACTTTCCAATTAAAGCTTTTTCTGTAAATTCATGCTTTAGTTTTGAGTTCCATTTCATGAATACAAAGGCCCATACCAGCTAGTGACAAGTACCACGTACTAAAGAACCTATGAAGGCTCAAGCTTTGAATATTGTGAAAGATCAAAGTTCCTTAGAATGTTTTTAAATGAGGTAACTGAAATTTCTGATGAAAGAGAAAAGTAAATCATAGAGTTCAGTTTTACTTCCAATATTCCACCGTCGTCCAGCTAGGGAAGCAGAAACAGGAGGCTCACTTCAGCCCAGGAATTTGGGCCAACCTGGGCAATATTAATGAGTTGCTATCTTTTTAAAAAAAGAAAATAGAAATAAAGTGGATCATTATTAAGTGAAGGTATTATGGCTCTTGAGTTGATCACACTGGAGAGTGTTATCCATGTAGGAATTACCAATTGCTTCTTCAACTAGTGGACATTTAAATCTTACAGATAAGTTTAGACATTGTTTTAGTCATTTTCCTCCTCACTGAGACACAACACTTAACATCCACAACTAAAAGGGAAAAAGGTTTTGGCTTATGTTTTTGTTTCATTTTGCTTTGTTGTCTTTTTGAGACAGGGTATCACTATGCAGTTCAGGCTGGCCTTGAGCTCACTTTGTAGCCCATGCACGTCTCAAACTTGCAGCCATCCTCCTGCCTCAGCCTCCCAAATGCTGGTATCAGAGTGCACCACCATGCTCAGCTTCGCTCACATTTTTTAGTCCATAGTTGGCTAGTTCCAAAGCATAAGGCATAGTAGAAGAAACTGGAAAAGGAAAATTGCTCATTTCATTGCAATCAGAAAGCTGAATACAAAGGGAAGAGCCAAAGAGAGAGGGATACACCCTTTAAGGTCACACCCCCAGTGACCCACCTCTTCTGACCCAGCCCCATCGCTAACAACAGCACATTTAGCTATAAGCTTAGTAGTGCACTAACCCACCAATGATTATAGCTCCCCCATGATGTACTCACCTGCCAAAAGCCCCACCTATGATTGAATGAGGATTTTGGTGGAACATCTATATATAAACCATAATAAACACGTTGGCTGTGGAATTGCCTCATGTTCTAGAAAAAGCCTCCTTTGTAAGAATCATTCGGTCCAATCAAACAATTCTGGGTGTAAGGTCTTTATGAAGACAATTGGCTATTAATGATTAAAACAAGTACATAGGGACAGTAGGTGTCACAGAGTGTACCTATTCTCTATTGGTAGTGAAAATTGTTAAATATTATTGAAGGCCAATGAGCTTCAGACAGACCAAGATAAAAATTGCAAGGAAATCACTAAAGTTTCATGTCACCAAACTAAACCTAAACTGTTTATCTGACCTTCCAAAAAATCTGGATTAGAGCAAAAATGTCAGAATTTCCCAAACAGGAAGGTTTCAGTTGGCCTAATAATACAATTCTGTCTACCTAATCCTTACACAAAAAAGGTAGCCCAAAGTAAGTTCTTATTAGTGAGAACTATTTTTGTATTATTCTGTCTGTCTCCACTTTCCAAGGAAAATAATTTTGGAAGGATCAGTCCACTTGATTTTTGTTTATTCTTTCTTCAGCCCTTTTTCACCTATAAAACCAGCCTTCCCTGCTTGATTCATTGGAATACTTACTCTTTTTCATGGAATTAACTGTTGCCCAATTCTAGAATTTAAAATACAACTAGTTTCCTGGGACAGGGGGCACCAGCAGAGACCACCAGGCTTGTGAGGGAGACAACGTAGTGTGGAATTTATTGTGCCTGGGTACAGGCAAGCAGGGAGCTATAAGGCTATTTGCCCTACAGAGAAGTGTGAACCTTTTATAGGGATAGAAAGAAGGCAGAGGACATTAGGCTGGAAGGTTTTAATAAACACCTGAGGTAAAGTTCCCTGATAGTATTGAATCTCAATGCACAAAGTCCTTAAAGTATCTAGTATAAATTTTCAAGTATCTCCAGATGTCCCAAAACCTGCGAAATTTCATGCCCTATATAATCTCTTTCCCATCATGTGCTGGCCATTGATAACTATACTGAGCTGAGTTCTCTGCGGAGAGTAGTGCCTCTGCTGCCTAGCAAGTTGTGGCCTGGGGGAGTCGGGTCCAATTCGAACTTTAGAAAAACTAATTAAGATTGCTAAACTATTACTGTATCCTTAGACACTACTAAAAGTCTGTTGACTGTAAAGTCACATTCAAGTTCTATGGAAAACTAGTATTGTCAGCCAAAGGGTACCAAAAGGAGAATGCTTTCCTGTATACCTTGGTTCAAGTCAGTTATACAGTTCATTTAACAGACTTGAGAATAATTTATCACTTTCTGTTGAATGATGCTCTTAAATACATGGTATTCATTATTTTCTGTTACTTTTTAGGAGTATTGTCGAGCCCAACAACCCAAAAATCAGGAGAATGAACTGAAAATAAACACATTTTCCGACAGTGGTAATAGACTTAATTATATTTAATAATATGTATGATATGCTAATTTCATTTTTTTAAATGCTTTTGACTGTTGCCTAGTTGGGGGTTAGGTTTTAAGTCCAAGAAGTTACCTCTGAAAATGAAAGAAGACATACTTAATTTGATGAAAATACTAATTATTTTCTTCTTATTTTCTTTTTATAGCTTCACATTTGAATACAGGCATTCAGCTTTCTCCAGCATCATCTGGCACGAATAAAATGCTTCCTTCGTTTTCAGCTGCAGCTATTCAGGTTTCCTGTGCTGGTTGTAAAAAAATTCTCCAAAAAGGACAAACTGCTTATCAGAGAAAAGGATCTACTCAGCTTTTCTGCTCTACCCCATGCATCACTGAATACATTGCATCTGCCAGTGTACCAGCTTCTACCAAGACAACTTGCTCAAACTGCTCAAAGTATATAATTCTAATTTATGCCTTTTACTTTCCTACACAGATCTTGGCCAGAATCTTAGTTGTAATTTTCTGTTTTCATTTTTTTTTCCTGAAGATGTGTCACCTTGGTTTAATGAAAAGAAACTGTTTCTGCTTATAGATCTTCCAAATGTAGAATTATACTATTTCTCGTACAATGGCAAAGAAAGTGATTTAATTTTTTTGTTTGTTTTAGTTATTTTTTAAAAAGTTGGATGGCCATAGATAGAACATACATACATGTGAATAATAATTTTTTCAGAGGTTTATGTTAGACTGTGATTGAATCAGTAGCCCTGAGCTGTTAATATTCATTAAATGCTAATTGCCAAATTTTGTTTTTGTTTTGTTGAGATAGGGTTTCACTATGCAGTTCAGACTGGCCTTGAACTCACTTCGTAGCTCAGGCTGGCCTCAAGCTCGCAGTGATCCTCCTGCCTCAGCCTTCTGAGTGCTGAGATTTCAGGCAACTAATGCCAAATTTTAGCTTTTTGTTTCAGAACGAGAAAATTCACAGACCACCAGATTTGCTTCTAAATATAATAAATTCCTTTCAAGGGCTGAGGATGTAGCTCAGTGGCATAAGCATCTGCCTTGTGAGCGTGAGGACATGAGTTCAATCCCCAGTACAAAAAAAAAAAATTCCTTTTCAAATAATATCTTAGAATTAAATTCCTATAATATGAATGTTGCTTCTTCCATTTATAGTAATATTTTTCTATTCAAAGTATGTTCCCTAACCAGCTATATCAACATCACCTAAGAGCTTGCTAGAAATGCAGGTTGTCAGGACTCAGCCAGACCTAATGACTCAGAACCGCATTTATCCCCATGTGATCCATACACATGCTAAAGTTTGAGAAGCATTGAGAACTTCTTTGTTTCTCAGCATTCCCAACATTCATTTGTTTGTGAAATATGTACATCAGAATTAATGAGAATTAAATAATGTATATAAGTGATGAGGACAGTACTGGCATGTAATAAGAACTCAATAAATGTTAACTATCACTGTTAATGTTACACCTTTAACTCACAATCCCTTTTTTATAGATTGCTTTTAGCTCATTTGACTGCTGCATCAAATATTACCTGTTGCTTTAAGTCCTGTTCCTCAGAACTGTTTTCGTTTCTCTTTTGCTTTTTCAACCCTTCACTACTATACTTTGTCTTTTTTCATTGTTGCTCTGGGCTATGTGGCACTGTCTTCAGCCTGCTTTCTCTCTCTGCAGAATCATAAAACTGGAAGGGACCTTAGAGAACACCCAGTCCAAACCTTTTCTTTTGGTTTTAAAGAAACTGAGGCCCTGGGAAGTTAAGGTATCATCTTGCTATGTTTGGCGTATGCTAACTACATTTCTTTAACACCAGCCTAACTACATGTCAGACATATTTAGAAAGATCAAAGCAGGAAAAACTAAGCATGTAAGTCACTCTCTAAGGCATAAAAATCTAGTATGAGCAAAAATACGAGGTGAGTTTTGCTTCTGGAATAAAATTTTTCCTAAAAATTACATACATTGGCCGAAATGTAGTTATAATGCTTAGGACTAAGGGAGGCTATCATTATTCATGCTAACCTGTGCTTTTATTAAAACTTTAAGATTTTTATATTCATGTGCCTCATTTAGTTCTCAAATTTATGCTTCAGTTCTAGTAATTTTTGCAGTTTCTTTTATAGCAGGTTTTTTTGTTTGTTTGTTTGTTTTTTGGTACTGGGGATAGAACTGATGACCTTGCAGTTGCCAGGCAGGCACTTAGACCACTGAGCTAAATCCCCAGCCTTTTTATAGCAGTTTTTTTAAACATCTTTTGGGGTTAGTTTTTATTCTGCTTCCAGAACCAGTGAAAGCTTTAAATGAGACATTTGAAATTTTACTAGAAAAATTGTGACTTATTTTAGGCAACTATATATTTAAGAAGTATTACTTATTTTAGTATGTTTTTATTTTGCATTTCCCTGAAGACTAACAATGAAGTAGTATCATTTCTACACTTTACTATCATAGTTGGTTCAAAGTCCTAGAAATCCTGCAGCCAACCAAAAGTTCAAAATAGGGCTATGCACTAATGGCTGATTTGTGTATAGGAAAGTTGTTCACATCTATGCTCAAGCCAACTTCAGGTCCTTCTAAAAGAATTATTTTTTAAATTCTTTGTTAATAAGCCTGTAGTACATTAGAAACCAGCATTCTAATATGCCAAAAACAGTAAAAACTCGTAAGCATTTTCAGATTGCCATGGCTTTTCTGGTGTAACTGCTCTGCTCTTTTCCTGTTTGGCTAATTCTTTCTGCCTTAAAATTGTGCCTCAAATATCTTTACCCTTGTCTGCTCTCACACTGTCCCTCACTCTCCTTTTATCACCGCCTCCCCAGACTGAATATTCTGTGGTCTGCTTTGATATAGTACTGTGTACGCACATCTCATCCTATTTAGACAGTGAGCCTCTCAATATTAAGGACCAGAGTATAGTCATCCTTTTGTACCTTCTAAAAGCCTAAACTTGCCTAGAACACTGAATCCTGTCAAATAAACTATAGGAATAACATTGTGGCTAGAGCTAGCTGTATTTTAAACCAGTAAAATCACCCGTGTGATAATGGTAACAAAACTTGTACTTTAGATTAAGAAATTGGAAAGTCCTTAAAAATTTTTTAATGTTGAAATGTTTCACTTTCAGGAAAAGTTCATCTTAAAAACTTATGCTTTAAGATTAATATTCTGGGGACTGGGGATTTAGCTCAGCGGCATAGGCACCTGTTTGCTAGCGCGTGGTTGTGAGTTCAATCCTGATACTGATTTTAAAAAAAAAAGGATTAATATTCTGTAAAGACTCTAGGAATCCAGATATCTTGATATTTATCATTATGGCACTTCTCAAACATTTTCATTTTAGGAGCCCTTTGCACATTGTGGGGCAGTATTTATGTGTTTGTTTAATGGGATGAGATTTCACTATTTCCCAGTCTGGCCTGGAACTCCTGGGTTCCAACCATCCTCAGCTTCCCAAGCCACTGGGGCTACAGGTTCATGCCAGTGCTTATGGGTTCTTTAACACTCTGAAAAATTATTAAAGGTTTCATCCAGGTGTAGTGATTTATACTTGTAATCTCACCTGGGAGGCTGAGGTTAAGAGGATTGCAAGTTTGAACCTAGATAGGACAATTCAGCGATTTAGCAAGACCCTGTATCAATTTTTTTTTTTTTTGTCTTTTTCATTTTTATCGGTACCGGGAATCAAACTCACGATCGCCTGCTTGCAAGGCAGGTGCTTATACCGCTGAGCTAAACCCCCAGCCCCCCGTATCAAAATTTAATAAGGGCCAAGGATGTTGCTCAATGAATAAGCCTTGGGTTCAATCCCCAGTACCACCAAAAATAAATAAACAAATTATATATATATCTCCTAAAGGGCTGTTGTCATATAAGTTATATTCATCAAGTTTACTATGTTAGGAATTTAAAATTTTAATGAAAAATGACTATATCTTTAAAGGTTAGAAAAATGAATTTTTGGCCAGGTACTGTGGCACAGTCCTGTAATCCCAGCACTCAGGAGCCAAATGCAGGAGGATTGCTGCAAGTTCAAGGCTAACCTGGGCTACAAAGTGAGTTGAAGGCCCCCCTGAACTGCACAGTGAAACCCTGTCTCAAAAAGACAAAGAAAGAGAGACAGAGAAAAAATAAAAACAAATTGTTTTACTAACCACTTTAATGACTGACTGGATTTTCATGTTTGTTTTGCTAAGAAAATATCACCTTACTGATAAGTAATTTGGAAAAAGTTTTTGGAAAAGGACAAATGTCTTATTTTCATCATCCTGTCTTGTTCTTTGAATGTATGCTTTAACCATGAATGAATGATTTTTGTGACATTTTGCTGTTATCATTTGGAAAATAATTGGTTCAATGAGTTCTGGAGAGCTTCCAAATGTTGACACATTTCATTATATGCAGTATTTTATAGATTACAACCAATCTCATCAGAAAACTTCAAATGTTGGGAAGTGAACAAGCTAGAGGTGGCAGCTAAGTTTTCCAAAAATTCTAATTTTTACTTGAAAGTTTGAATTTTATTACTGTCAGTTAAATAGTGTCTCTTTGTTTTCCTTGAAATGGCACTCTTTTTTAATTTTCAAGAAATTATCTGCAGATTTCCACTTCTGAATAAGAGTTTGTCTATATGTTCAAATGAAAATGTGATCCATGAAAAAAGTAGTTAATTCGGATTATAACTGTATTCTTCTATAGGCTTTTTGTTGAGACAATCATCAACTCTTGGATGGGCTGGAGAAGTCCTTCATGGCTATGTCCCATTTTTGTCACAGAGAATATTAAAATAATATACTCCAGGATCACAGTATTTGAGTTAAAAAAATATTCAGTAGGGACATCCTTAATTGAACTGACATGGTTTGTTTTACAGCAAATGTGCAGAAGGGAATAACATGCATATAGGTACATTTTAGTGCCATTGCCTTGATATAAGCTGAAGCCTGGGCAGTTTTACCTATCAGTGCTTTTATCTTTTCCCAATTCGTTGTGGGGAAATCCATGTAACAAAAATTAATCATTTCATTGGCATTTAGTAGTACTCAGAGTGCTGCCTCAGACAACTGCTACCTCCACCTTATTCCAAAATTTTCTGTCACCCCAAAGTTAAGGTGCTTTATTTATTGAGCAGTTTCTCCCCACTTCTCTTTCCTCCCAACCCCTAGTAACCATCAGTCTATATTCTTTGTATGGACCTGTCCTGAATATTTTATATCAATGAAATCATACTACATGTGATTTTTGTACCTGGCTTTTCCTTAGTATGTTTTCAAGAAGCATCCTTGTTGTACTTCATTCTTTTTTATAGCTGAGTAATAGTCTCTTGTATTATTTACAGTTTGTTTATCCATTCATTCATTGATGAATGTTTGAGCTGTTTCAACTATTATAAATAGTGGTAGTAGTTATGAACGTATGTGAATAAATACTTGTCTGAGTGCCTGTTTTTAGTTTTTTTGTGTGTATATATCTAGGAGTAGCATTGTGGTGTCTTACTCTTGGCTTTGCACAATCAGTTAAAATGTCAATACAGTGGATAAAAGGTAGTATTTTAATGTTTTATGAAAACTAGCTTTGATGTTTTATTCCCCCTCAACATATCTGGAATATACCACCTCTACCTTCAGGAATTGCAGACTATGCTTTTAATACAATCTGTTGACAGATTCCAAAGTGGCTCAGATATGAACATGGGACTTATCATTATCACTGTGTTCTCTTAGTAGCATCAACTAATACAGGCTAGTACTCAGGGATGGACTATGAAATATATTTTATAATCCTTACTGTAGATGAAGATATTAACATGTAGGGAGTGCAAATAATTTGTCCAAGCTTGCTTAATGTAAATGATAGAACTGGATACCAGATTTAGGTTTTGTTGTTTCAAGGCTGATGTTACTACTGTTGTTTCATAGTTCTTTGAGTAAATTAAACTCAAAGAGGGGTCATTTTATGAAGAGCAAAATAATAATATTGTGGTAAAGGTGTTTCATGGTGTCCTTGCTACTTATTTTTAGAGACATTATAAATCTGAAGGATGTCATCAGTCTCCAACTGGAAGATAATGCCTCTAGCAAAAATTTTTGTAGCCAATCTTGTCTTTCATCATATGAAGAAAAAAGAAAACCATTTGTTACCATATGTACTAATAGCATTTTGACCAAGTGCAACATATGTCAGAAGATGGCTACTGTAAGTTGTAATTTTTTAACATTTAAAAGGATTCTGATTCTTCTTAAATGGCAGTTTTTATTGCATCTTTTTTTTAAATCCTAGATTCAGTATGAAGTAAAATATCAGAATGTGAAATACAATCTTTGCAATAATGCCTGCTTTTCAAAGTTTCACTCTGCTAACAACTTCGTCATGAACTGTTGTGAGAATTGTGGAGCTTACTGTTACACCAGCTCTAGTCTATTTCAAATACTTCAGAGGGATGGACAGTCTCATTACTTTAGTAGCTCAAAGACTATTGCAGCATCTGAGAAGGTATAAAGAAACATTATTTCTTCTATTGTGTTATGAATGGTTCTACTTTGGGATAATGTGTGCATGTAGTTTTTCATACCACTGAGAATAATTTCTGCTGATAAGTGATTGTCTTACCCAGGAGAAAAGACAGTCAAGTGGAAGTCTTATTTATAAACTACAAATAAAAACAGTAAAAATAACCATAATCTATTGGTTGGTAAATCCCAAACAGAAAGTGTTTTTATTTTGAATGCTATACGTTTTAACTCTTTCACCTAAGCAGTGTAAAATGATCAAGAATATTACATGCTTTTTCTAAATCAATCATAAAAAGAAATAATATGATGAGAAATAATCCCCTCTTTTTGATAGGAGAGCCTTGGCTGGCCCTCTATTGGTGGACCAATATGAACACAATTACTAGTTTAATCCTTTTTCATGAAGTAACACTGTTGCATATCTTGTTCATATGATGCTTACTGATCTTAAACATCCCTATAAATTCTTCCTTAAAAACCAACAACTGGCCAGGTGTAGTTTTGCACACCTATTATCACAGCTTTCAGGAGGCTAAGGCAGGAGGATCATTGTGATTTCAAGGCCAGCCTAGACTACGTAGTGAGTTCAAGACCAGTCAACTACATGGCAAGACCCTATCTCAAAAAAAAAAAAAAAAAAAAGCCAGCAACTGACCAAACCTGGTGGCATATGCCTATTGTAATCCCAGTACTGGGAAGGTGAGAAAGGAGCTTTACAATTTGAGGCACAGCCTAGGCAACTTAATATTTACCAAGAACTTGTCTCAACATGTAGGAAAGGGCCACAGTTATAGTTCAGTATGAAAACCCTGGGTTAAATCCCTAATACCAAGAGAAAGAAAAATTGAAAGTAGGAAGTCCAACAAGCCACAATTCAATTTCTCTGGTAGAATGCCCTCACCATGACAATGTCTTGCCTTGGGACCAGAGTAGGAGGATAGAAGGCACAGAAACCTCCCTCCAAATCTAAGAAATACTGTTCCTTCCTTTTATTCTTCTTGGCTCATACTCAGTAAATAGCCTTTTTCTTTTTATTAGCCTATATTGAATATCCAATACTCAGCCTGTGTGAGGAGGCAGGGCTACTGGGCAAGCCAGTTAACAAGCACATAAAACTTTCTGATGTAAGGTGTTGTAGGACAGTAATGATATAAGATACACATATTATTAGTGAATTATAATCAAAAATTGGAAAAGTGTTAAAATACATGAAAATCTAGGGCTAGGGATTTAGCTCAGCAGCACAGCAACTGCCTGGCAAGCATGAGGTCCTGAGTTCAATTCCCACCAAAAGGTAAAATAAAATATATGGGTCTAAAAATGAGTTGGATTTTTATTGTAAAGGGTGGAGTATTTTATACTGGCACAATAACCTGTCCCTATATCCCAGCACTCAAGTCTAAGGCAGAAGGATTGTATGTTCAAGGCAAGCCTAGGCAACTCACCAAAACCCTACCCCCAAAACAACAAAGTAGATTATTTGATATAATTGTAATTATTTGTTTGTGCCTTTTGTTTTAAATTAAGTTATTGAGTTGTCCAGGCAGGGATCAAACGTGTTACCTTCCTGCCTCAGCCACCCAGAGTGCTTGGATTATAGGCGTGCACTACCACCGTGACCCTGCTTGGCCATTTCTGTTTAATGGAGTATATGAAGTATTGATTCTCATGTGAGTGATGACTGATTTATAAATTACACCAGTTTTATGGTTTGGATACTGGGATTGAACTGAGGGTCTGTACACTGAACTGCATCCTCAAGCCTTTTTTCTTTTTATTGAGACATTAATTTGCTAAGTCACTAAGTTGCCCAGGCTTTCCTTAAACTTAATATGCACCTGCCTCACCTTCTCAGTACTTGGATTACAGCAGCTACAACAGCTAAAATAACTTAGTAAACAGTGTAAACAGTGCTAAACTAAAAATATATTTTAAAAAATTCCTAATAATAATATCAATTTGCTGGGCATGGTGGTGCATACCTGTAATCCCACCACTTGAGAGGCTTAAGCATGAGGACTGCTGTGAGTTCAAGGCCAACCTGCACACATAGTTCAAGGCCACACTAAACTACATAGTGAGACCCTGTCTCAAAAAAACAAACAAAAAGTTTGTGCTTTTATTGTTTGACCAATTATGCATGCCTGTATCATGAGCAACTACTTTGAAAATAATAATGTGCAATATATTAAACACTGTTAATTTCCCATTATCTTGTTTTGAAATTCTAAAGCAGGAGGATAGCAAAACAAACAAACAAAAAAAAAGGCTGAAATTTGTTGTCTGCTTTTTTGTTTCATTGTTCCTTTACCAGTATTCCATTCTTCCACCAAAAGAAAAGAAAATGCATATTTTCATTTGTCTTTGCAATGTGTATCTAAGAAAGCAGTTCTGTCCCATTATTGCTATCAAGTTATAAAACAGTAGCCTGGTGTTGTGGCACACTTCTATAATCCCAGCACTCAGGAAGCTGAAGCAGGAGAATCATGAGCCCAACCTGTACTACATAGCAAGACCTTGTCTTAAAAACCCAGAAAAAGAAAGGGAGGAACCAAGGGAGAGATAGTGATTCTCATAGTTTATATCTTGTTCTTTTGTATGCTTTACTGCTTATTGAATTCTCTGTAGCCTGTACTGCTTATATCATACAATACTTACTGTAAAGTTAGGCTAGAAACACAGTGATTCCCACCCTGTCTTATGTGTTAAGCACCCTTTTCTAGTTTCTCCTTAATACTAGTAGGAGGTTTTGTCTAATTGATATTCAGAGACTTCTATTTTATTACTATTATTGCTTTTAAATATATCCAATGAACAATAAAATTCTTTTCAAATAGATTTATAAGTTTTCTTCATTGCAGTCATTGCAATCTATTGCCTCTTTTTTTTTTTTTTTTTTTTTTTTTTTGAGCCTGGCTTTGAACTCATCATGTAGCGTAGGCTAGCCTCATACTCAAGGCAATCCTCTTGCGTCAACCACCTGAGTGCTAGGATTATTGGCTTTTACCACCACTTCCAGCTTTTTTTTCAAGAAAGTATAAAAATTGGTTTCATTCTCATTATTTGTAATACTACAGCTAAAAGCAGTGGTTATTGATATGCTTTTGTTAATATATGGCATATGCAGGGATGTGAATTTTATTTTAATCTCTAAACAGAAACCAACCAAAACACTTACATCTTTTCCATATAAATCATTGAAACCATCAGATGAAATGATTGAGATTACTAATGACTTGGGGAAGACAGAGATTTTCTGCTCTATTAATTGTTTTTCTGCATTCAGCAAAGCAAAGATGGACTGTTCTACAGGTAATGTTTATTTTGCCACTTGAGTTTTACCAACAGTTGAGAAATACAAATACATTTTGCTTTTCATTTATAAGCTTGATTCATTTCCAAACTAAGCCAGTTTATAAGGCAAAATAGTCTAAAACATGTTGCAAAGATCTGTTTTCTTATTTTTTGTTTGTTTCTTTTTATAATGCTGGAATAGCGTAAGTGCCTGCCTGGCAACACGAGGTCATGTGTTTGTTTCCCAGTACTCCCTCCTTCCCCAAATGTTATTTTGAGATAGGGTCTATGTATTTCAGGCTGGATTTGAACTCATTGTTTAGTCCAGGGCAGCCTCAAACACAGCGATTATCCTGGCTCAGCCTTAGTCCTTTTTATTTTGAGACAGAAGCTAAGTTAGCCAGGCTAGCCCTTAAACCTGTGATCCTCCTGCCTCATCCTTTTAAATGATGGGATTATGGGCCTGAGTCACCAGGAGTGATAACTCCTAGTATTTTTTTATGTAAAAGGAAGGTTACTGTATCAGAAATTTAATATTTATTTATGAATATTGTTGGGTTGGATTGATACAAATCCTCTTTAAAACAAGATTAGCCAAGCATGGTGAATCAAAACCATAATCACAGCATTTGAGAAGCTGAGCCAGGATAATTGCTGTGTGAGTCTGCCCTGGACTACATAGTACAAATCCAGCCTGAACTACATGGACCCTGTCTCAAAATAACATTTGGGGGTGGGGTGCCAGGAATCAAACTCATGCCATTGTGCTTGCCAAGCAGGCACTTATGCTACTGAGGTATATATATACCTCAGCCCCTCAGAATAACTTTTTTTTTTAAAAAAAAAGATAAGATTTATGGGGAAAAGTTGGGGATACATATTTTTATTTAGATCCTTTAATACATTTGTATATTTACAGTTGTGTACATTGGACATGAAGTGTAAGACTTGGTTCGTAGGAGACACTAAATCAATATTGAATTTATTCAGTACATTTATAGTTAGAATAGTTCTTTTAGAATGTAGGTTAGCGAGGTGTAGTTGCACATATGTAATCCCAGCACTTTGGGAGACTCAAGCAGGAAGATCACAAATTCAAGCCTACCTTATACAACTTTCCAGGTTAGTTAGACCCTGTCTCAAAATAAAAAATTAAAGAGGGTTGAAGCTGGGAATGGTGGCTCACACCTGTAATCCCAGCACTCAGGAGGCTGAAGCAAGGGGATCATCCCAGCTCAAAGCTACCCCGGGCTGCTCAGTGAGTTCGAGGCCAGCCTAAACTGTACAGTAAGATCCTATCGCAAAACAAAATTAAAAAATAGTAATTTTAAAAATAAAAGTGTTAAGGATATAACCCTAACCAAAAGTATTGTAGTTCCTAGTGCTACCTAAACTATTTGATCATTTGTTCCTTGAAATATACTTAGTTTTTTTATATGGTTGGGGCTTTGGTTTGGTTTGGTTTGGTTTTTTGGAGCCGGGGATCTAGCTCTGGGGTTCATGAATAATAGGTAAGTACTCTTTAACCACTGAGCTATATCCTTAGCCCGAAATATGTAATAAACACTACTTTCTGCTTGACTGATTCTGGCCAGTTTATAAGAAGTATTTTTGTTTATTTTTATCAGCAAATGTTTCCACAACACATAGTGTTTCCATGGAGCAGCACCTTTCTCCAAAGAAAGATTTAATCCCAGTCATAAGCAATATAATGTCATTAGCAGATAATCATATTGCCCTGCCCATCATGAACACGGAGTTCTTACAAGGTAAACCTTGATGTAAAGACTTTTGACATAAACAGTTTTGTCATGCTTGATGAATCTGTTAAATTTTGGTTTTATAGCTTGATAAGAAGTAAGTCTTTACAGTTTACAATTCTAACTCGTAGATGATAGTATGAAATCTTGAATTTATGCTTTAATTTATTTTAACAGATACAGTTTCTTCAGTAACAGCAAATGTCATGGATGTAAGTTTTATCCTAATTTTTTTGGCTATTTGTCTTTGATAAACAGATTGTACATACATGTATATGTTTATAAGAATGTTTACACAGAAGTCTTATTAGTCATATCTCCCTTGTTGGGAGATTATATTTATTAAACATTTCTAGGCATCCAAATAATAAAAATTTATTTTAAAATTACATACCAGAAGGTCTTTTTAAACATTTAATAATAAGTCTAGATTGCAAACAAATCAGTTATAAGTAATTATTAGTCATACCCATCCCCCCAAAAAAGTTCACACAGTAATTTAATTAACTATGTTATTAGAATAGACATATTTGATGTTTTGGTTATTTGAAAACTGCTAAAATGAGTGTTATTTTATCTTTTTAGCCAAAGATCTCAAAGAGTTCACCCAAAGAATCAAGTAGTGATATTGCTGATGGTATGGAACAGCCAAGCCTTTTGCCATCATCTTCAGTACTCAATCACCACACTGTTGATTCCAGTATAGAAGTACACAGTGGTGAAGTATTAAACCAGGATCCTACATACAATATGAAATCTGTGAAAGTAAGTAATGGACTCTGTCATCCAAAATTTACATCTAAAGTGCAAAATGTTAAATCACAAAATATTAGAAAATCTTGGCGTACAAATCGTCCACAAGTAAATAAAAAAGATGTAACATTTTGTTATTCATGCCAGTTGTTCTGCCAGAAAAGTTTTAGCTCTGGAGGAGAGTCATTTGCAACCCAAGGAACTTCTAATTGGAAAAAAACACTGGAAAAATTCAGAAAGCATGAAAAAAGTGAAATGCATTTGAAGTCCTTGAAGTTTTGGAGGAAATACCAGTTTTGCAGTGAAAACAGTGATAATTTATCTAATCATCCAAAACAGATTGAAGAACAAAAAGAGTATCTAAAGCTTATAGTTGAAAATATTTTATTTCTTGGGAAGCAGTGTTTGCCTTTAAGGGGAAATGATCATTCTGTTTCTTCTGTGAACAAAGGCAATTTTTTAGAATTGTTAGAAATCAGGGCAAAAGATAAAGGAGAAGAAATATATCGACTTATGAATTCACAAATTGATTTCTACAATACTACACAGATTCAAGCTGATATTTTTGAAATAATAAAGATGGAAATGTTGCAGGATATTGTGAATGAGATCAATGTTTCCTCAGCTTTTTCAATTATATGTGATGAGATAACTGGTAATACCACCAAAGAACAGCTTTCAATTTGTGTAAGATACCCACAGAAAACATCAAAGGCTGTTGTAATTAAGGAAAGATTCTTGGGTTTTGTTGATAATGAAAAGGAGACTGGGATCCACTTACACAAGAAAATCAAAACTTACCTACAGCAAATTGGAGTTGATTTTAATACAATTTGTGGCCAGGCCTATGATAGTACCACTAATTTGAGGGTAAAATTTAATGAAATTGCTGCAGAATTCAAGAAGGAGGAGCCAAGAGCTTTGTATGTACATTGTTATGCACATTTTTTTGATTTAGCAGTAGTTAGGTTTTGTAAAGAAATAAAAGAACTCCGAAGTGCTCTAAATACTCTCAGTTCTTTGGTCAACACTATTTATACATATGGGGAAATGCTGGAAAATTTTCGAGATATTTGTAAGCTAAGTCAAAACAAAACATGCAATAAACATACATCACAGTCATGTTGGATAGTACACGATCGTACATTGTTATCTGTGACTGAAAGGCTTCCAGAAATTATTGAAACATTGGAAGTTGCATCAAGTTGCCATTCCTCAAACACAAATTTGACTGATGAATTGAGTGATTTGTTAACACTGGTTTCCAAATTTGAGTTTATTTTTTGTTTAAAGTTTCTTTATCGAGTGCTAAGTGTTACAGGAATTCTTTCCCAAGAGCTTCAAAGTGAAACCATAGACATTTTTTCTTTGTCTTCTAAAATAGAAGCAATTGTGGAATGTTTATCATCTGAAAAAAATGATGTATATTTCAAAACTCTCTGGGATGAAACAGAGGAAATATGTAGTAAAATTATCAGTAAAGGTTTTGAAGTTGAAAAGCCTTCCCTTCAAAAAAGGAGAAAAATTCACAAAACAGTAGATCTTGGCAATTCAGAAAATATGTTTTTTCCTACTTCAACAGAAGAACAATATAAAATTAATATTTATTACCAAGGATTGGATAGTATATTACAAAATCTAAAGTTATATTTTTCAGAGTTTGATTATTGCAAAATGAAGCAAATTTCAGAGCTATTACTTAAATGGAATGAACCATTAAATGAAGCAACAGCCAAACATATTCAAGAATTTTATAAACTTGATGCAGATATTATCCCTGAACTTAGATTTTATCGGCACTATGCAAAGCTCAACTTTGTCACTGATTATGCTTCCATCAACTTCATTACTCTTGGCTATTTGTTTATTCAGCATGGTCTTCACAATAATATTCCTTGTATCTCAAAGCTATTACATATTGCTTTGTCTTGGCCGATTACTTCAGTAAGCAATGAAAACTCCTATTCTACACTGCCTCGTCTCAAAACATATTTATTTCATACTATGGGACAAGAGAAGCTCACTACCCTCGCCCTAATGGCTGTCGAGCAGGAATTGGTAAATAAATTGATGGAGCCTGAAAGGCTCAATGGAATTATAGAAAAATTTATCAGTCAAATGTAAGAAATATAATACCTGCTAATTGGGACTTAAAAGAATTTTATCTGCTGTAATCCTGGTTTTCCTGTTTTGGTTTTGATTTGCTTTTTCTTTTGCTTTTTTTTTTTCTTGAGATGAGATACCACTATGTTGCCCATAGATGGTCTGGAACTTGTGAGTTCAAGTGATCTCCTGCTTAAACCTGCTAAGTAGCTAGGACTGAGGCCTGACAATGTGTGCTGCCTGGAATCCTGATTTTCATCTCAAAATGATTTCTATTAAGAAAAAAAATTATTTTTTTAGAGTATGTAGTACATTCACCTTCAAAAGACACAGTGACATACAATAGAAAAGTTTTCTCCTGTTTTTGCATTCTTCCTAAAGTTTTATTAGTTCCTTAAATACTGTCTTAGAGATATTCTCTGTAGCTGGTACTATACAGTGTACACTAGTCTTCAGCTTGTACTGTCTCCATAATAGGATATTTTTTGAGATTGTCCCATGTCAGTAAATGATTATTTTTTTACAACTACAGAATGTTATATTGTATTAAATATGCCATAATCTAATACCTTGTGCAAAGGTCATTTGTACATAATAAATTACTGTAAAATGTAAAACTAGAATTCCTAGTTCAGTAGGTTTGTGCTTTTTTTTTCCTTTTTACTGAGATGTACTATGTTTCTCCTGCTGGCCTCAAACTCATGAGCCATCTGCTTTAACCTCCCAAGCAGCTAAGATTACAGATGTGTGTTGCTGTACCTATTTTGTGTATTTAAATTTTTGAAAGATATTAGAAAATAACTTCCTTAAAAGAATTGTGCCAATTTATGGTCCTACCAGTGATGTACATGTGTCCCCATTTCCTCAAATCTGTTTGTATATTATTTTGGAGTTTTTTTGAGACAGTCTCACTACACAGTTCAAGCTGGCCTTGAACTCATTTCAGTCCTCCTGCCTCAGCTTCCTGAGTGCTGGCATTACAAGTATGCACCACCAGGCGTAACTCCTCAAATCTTCATGAACAAAGCTATCAAATGTTTTGGTCTTTGCCAACTTACTAATTGAAAAGTGGTATCTTAATTTCATTAGAATTTTCATTTAAGAATAAGGTTAAATATTTGTTTACGTGGACCATTTGTATTTTCTTTTTATGCACTGTCACATTTAAACATTAAAATGAAAAGATTGGTGTTTTTGACACAACAAAAATTATTAAGTTGTGTCATGAAAATATGGCTTTTTTTTAGAGAAAAAAGCAAAACAAAAGGGTAGAAATAATACAGAATTTCAAAAAAATAACAGTAAGAAATCACTAGTTGATAAATTACATATTGTTATCTTAGAAGTAGTTCAGATTTTTCAAAAAGCATAAAAAGATAAACAATGACAGTATAAACTATTGTTCAGTAAACTAACAAATATTTAGTAGTATGGTTATCTCGCACACTTAAACATACTTACAGTTATATCTTTTAGCCCACTTTGTCTATTACACATTTTGGATCTTACTACTTTTTATTATTATTTTTTATACAGGAGTTACAAATATGAGTCTGATTTATTTGACTTATGAGGATAATCTCAAGTTGCCTCCATTTACCTGACTACTTAAGTCTGAGATTTTTGAGGAATATTTCTCTGGCCCCTTTCTCTAATAATATATCAATTTTAAAATTGGTGATTTTTCTACAAAGGGAATTTCTTTGAGGCTTTGTTTCAGAGGTATTTGCTTAGAGTTGTGGAAAGTATTCTTAATTTCTTCAGTATACATATTTGTTGCTCTTTTCCAAATTTTGGTGACTGAGCCCAGGGCCTTGCACATGTTCAGCAAGTACTCTACCACTGAAATACAGACCCTCCCCCTTTTCTTTAAGACAAGATCTGAGTTGCCCAAACTGTCTTTGAATTTATGATCTTTGTGCTCAGACTGCCTGAGCAGCTGAGATTACAGATGTGCACCACTGTGGCCAGCCTCTTCATTCTTCATTTTATCTGTCCTGCCTTTATTGTTTTTTTATTTTGTTCTGTTCTGTTTAGTTTGGTACCAGAAATCAAACTCATGACCTCACAGTTGCCAGGCAGATGCTTTTTTTCCTACTTATTTTAATTAAGGTTTTTAAAACCATATATAAAATTTAATATGTACATATTTAATGTATATAAGAATATGAAGATCATAAAAAAAATCTAACCTATTAAACCATAGATGGAACTGAACCCTCTTGTAAATGTTTTTGTGTAATCTTTTTGTTTTCCTCAGAGGCAACCATTATTAATTTATATTTAATACATAGTCTGGGGTTTTTTTTGTTTGATTATTTTATTTTGTCTGTCTTTCTTTTTTTTTTTTTTTTTTTGAGATGGGGGTCTTGCTGTGCAGTTCAGGCTGGCCTTGAGCTCACGTTGTATACCAGGCTGGTCTCGAACTCACAAGGATTCTGGGATTAAAGGTGTGAGCCACCACGCCCGGCTCATTTTATCTGTCTTTTGAAACAGGATTTTGCTATGCAGTTCAGGCTAGTCTTGAACTCATTTCATAGCCCAGGCTGGCCTCGAACTCAGCGATCTTCCTGCCTTAGCCTCCTAAGTGCTAGGATTACAGGTGTGCACCACCATGCCTGGCTTCGTGGTCTAGTTTTATGTTAACAGATTTTATATAAATTGTAGTATACTTATTTTTCCGGATTTTTTTTTTTTTTTGTACCAGGGATCGAACTCACAATCTTGTGCTTGCCCAGCAAGTGCTTGTGCTGCTAAGCTACATCCCTAGCCCCTGGAATTTATTTTTTCAGTGTTACCTTTGAGGTTTCTATATGGATATCTAGTTCATTTAATGACAATAGTACTTCATGTAGTTATACAGGTAAATCCTTTATTAAAATGGGCAATTTATATAATTTCTTTCATTAAAAATAAAAAATAAAACCAAAAATGAACAGAAGAAAATAAAAATTAAAAAAAAATCCCTTATCAAACTCAGCATTTTTCATATAGATTAACATTTTGATTTTTACATTTCTGTAAAAATAACAGGCTCAGAATAAATAGTCTAACCAACTTTGATAAAGGAACAAAATTAGAGCTCCAGCAGTACCCAATCGCATGACTTACCACAGTTACACCAATATGACAACAGCATTGATATCAAGATAGACAAACCAACAAAGTTACCAATATGAAGTCCAAAATAGATACCCACATAGCATACATTTGATTGGCCAAGATGCAAAAGCAGTTAAGTGGAAAAGAATCGTACCCTCAATAAATATACTGGAACAACTAGATGTCCACGTGCAAAAAATCAAAATCTTATATCACATCAATTTCTTAAATCATCCAAAAGTCAACTCCAAATGACTTATATTGGATCAGTTAAAATGAAGACAGGTGTGGCCTGAGTCATTGCTTAGCTCAAGTCATTCTCTCTGGGACAAAATACATGTTTTTTTCCTTATACTAATGAAACAATGTGATAATTATGTTTGCATGACATTTCATAATATAAAATGTTTTCAAAGCACACCCATTTACCTATAAAAATGTCCAGTTTATCATTCTTTGTGGCTGAATAGTATTCCATTATATAAAAATACCACATCTTTTTTATCCATTCCTCAGTCGATGGGTATTTAAGTTGTTTCCAAGATCTGGCAGTTATAAACTTTGTTGCTATAAACATTGGTGCACATATATCACTGTAGTAGGATGTTTTTGTTCTTTTGGGAAGATACTTAGAAGGGGAATAGCTGGGTTGGATGGGACCTCCAACCTGGTTTTATGAAGAATCTCCACTGATTTGCACAGTGGTTGCACCAGTTTGTATTTTCACCAGCAATGAAGAAGGGTTCCTTTCTCTCCACAGCCCCTCCAGCAGCTGTTACTGGTTGATTTCTTACTGCTGGCCATTCCTTCTGGGGTGAGGTGAAATCTGTGTTTTAATTTGCATTTCTCAAATGGCCAGTGCCGTTAAACATTTTTTTCACAAATTTACTTGTTGTTTATACTTCTTCATAATACAATTTTTTATTGCACTTAGGGATGGCCCAGAATATCAATGAAACTTAGTTTTCTAATGTAGTTATCCATCAAGATAGTAAAAGAGATTGCTTGCCATCATGGGCATTGGTGATTGTATACAAAAGAATACTCACATGCTGTACTTGAATAAAATAATGCAGTCTGGCCATTTCAGGCCTCACCCAACCACCCACTCAGTATTCCAATTCGGAAGATCTGTTCTAGCATACTTAACCTAGAAATAGATGTGGAAGTCAAGGGGGTATGCACCTTCCACCTTAGACCTCGGGTGTATCAGTTTTTTCTATTCCTCCCAATGCATGAGTGTTTCTTTTGCCCACATTGTTACCATTATTTGGTGATATTCTGCCTTCTCATTACACTGACTTCTGTCTTCAAAACCAAGTTAATTATCCTGCAGTATTGACTGCTTGTAGAATTTATTTTTTATTCTTTTGTAATTAGGTACTGAAGGCTGTAAACTTACCTATGAAGTCAATTTGTTTGCTTTGGGGGTTTGTTTTGTTTTGGTACCAGGGATCAAACTCATGATCTCGCGCTTAGCAGGTGGGTGCTTATGCCACCAAACTAAATCCTGGCCTAGAAATTGTTTTTTCAGTTTGGTATAATTTGGTTTTTTGAGACAGAGTCTCGCCTTTAGTTCAGAGAAATCTAAGTAACCTAGCACTTTTCTTAATACTTGTGTTAGTCATTTAGTGTTCTCAACAGCTTATTTTACAAAGGAAACTAAGAAACAGATTATGAATAATACAGTTATTAAAAGGTGAAAGTAGGATTTGAAAACAAGTAGTTTGGGCTAGGGATGTAGCTCAGTGTCAAACAGAGTTACTGTCACTTTTCTGTTGTTACTGAGACAAAATACCCAAAGTTAGAGGGGGAAATGTTTATTTAGCTTACATTTGTAGAGGTCCATAATCAGCTGGTTGCAAGGCAAGGTGGTATGGCAGTGGGGTGCTATGTTGGTGGAAGACATAAGAGCCAAAAAGGGAGGAGCAAGCCTCTTTTTCCTCCCTTAAATTGTGTGCAAGCTACCTGCCCTAGAGTGGGTGTAGCACTCAACCCCTATCCCAGCACTAGACAACCAATCACAAACTCTGGATTCAGCTGCCTCTAAAAAGCCTGTCCCCCATGACTGCATGAGGCTTTGGGAGGACATCCAAACACAAATCATAACACCATAGAGATGTGGGTTTGACTCCCAATCCTGGGGCTGGAGGGAATGTCTACCATCAAAGTGCATCTTTTCAATCACCATTTTCTGCTACCTCATAAAGCATTATCACAAATACAGTATCCCTATATAATAAAAATATTAACTACCAGAAGTGTAAAAGATACCATAGATATCTGTATCATATTTTAATCTCCCCGAAAGTGCATAAATACAGCAACTAAAATATTTAAAGCAGAAACTGGTTCATAGCATCTAGAACAAATCTTGGTGATTGATACCCCACAACCCCAAACCCCAAAATACAACCCCACAACCCCAAAATATAATCAAATAGTGAACTTAAAAGTAGCTATAAGACTATATATTATATTATTGACTATATAGAAGGCAGTGGAGAAAAGACAGTAGAATATCTGATATGCCTAAGAATAGAAAAGCCATAGTTTTTCAGTGAAAACCATTATCAAGTCAACCTCAGAACAGCCAAAACAAAGGAGATTTCTATGGATACAGGTTTGCTGGTAAATTTAAAACAACTATGCTAAGTTGTGAAATGTTGGAGTGGGCTAGGTCCTTATAACACTTCAAAATCTTATTAACAATATATTTAGGGGGCTGGGGATTTAGCTCAGCGGCATAAATACCTGCCTTGCAAGCAGGTGTCGTGAGTTCGATCCCCGGTACCGATAAAAATGAAAAAGACACACACAAAAAATTTCAATTTGAGCAGGGTAAAGACAAAGAGAAGGTAAAGGTAGAAATAAAAACAGGCAAAGCAGAGTTCAAGAAATACTAGGCTATTTATTTTAGTTACTTCATGAAAACTAACAGAATTTCATGAGCCTTAAGGCTAACGTGCTATTCCATTCCTTTGCTCACTCAAAAGTATTTAAAAACTTTAAGAATAGATGGCAGCTGAGCATGTTGGTGCATTCCTATAATCCCAGCAGTCTGAGAAGCTGAGGTAGGAAGTTTGAACCCAACCTGGGGAACTCAGTGACTTCACAAAACCTTGTCTCAAAATTTGAAACTGCTGGGAACATAGATAAGTGGGAAGGTGTTGGGTTCAGTTCCCATTACTGAAGAAAAATTTTTGATGATAAGGGAAAAATTCTTTAGGAGCCCAAGCAATATCCTCAAGTAACCTAATGACAGGTAAATCTGATAATTCTTTTCTTCTTCCTTTCCTTTACCTCCCTCTCCTCCACTCCTCTCCCTAACAGGGTTTTACTAGTCCAAGCTCACCTCTTAACTGTGATCTTGCCTCATCCTCCATAGTGCTGGGATACAGGTGTGTGTCACCATGTCTAGCTATGATTATCTTTGTACTTTTTCATGATGCTACTCTATGTCAGTTTATTCTGAAAAGGATAAATACTATTGTCAAATTAAAATTTAGACCTCTCCAAGAAAGGTGCATTGCTCACTGGTGCTGATGTCCATCAGGAAGTGAACAGTGTCTGGTCATCTTAATATGAGCAACCATTGATCACTGCTTCGATTCATTAAAGGGTGCTATTTCAATTTTACCATTTCGTTTTCATTGACTTACTGAGATGAAGTTACTTAGAATTTCATATCCAGTTCTGATTTTCTGTTACAAAAGCCATGAACTATCATCAGTAACTCTTGGGATACTGTTCCTACGACCAATATCTGCAAAGTCTGAGAATCAGAAAACTGACCAGAGAGGTATTAACATAAGAAATGATAAAATATCACTCCATCATCATATTATAAGACAACCATTGTGCACTTCCTAAAGGACATCAGTACCAACTAAGCAGTGCACATGCTCAGACACTTCTGAATTTCAGTTGCACAGGAATCCATTCTTGCAGGTCTCTTAAATTTTATTGACTCGCAGGGAAAATATTTCTTCTCAGTCTCAGGCCCCTTCCTTCAGTTGCTTCTGCTATGATACCTTAGTGCTCTCTTTGTGCTTTTTAGTTCCACAGTACCTTGTTAACAGTTCTCCCTGTTCAAATAACTTGATTTTTAGTCT